TCTAGGATGACATAGAACTTGGCGGCCTAATTTGCTTCTGTTGGCTTCACAAGGCCTTTTACCTCGCATCCTTAATCTTCATGTTCAGGAAAGTCCTCTTTACTTCTCTTTTACTCCTTATTTTTTACATTGGGGATAATATAATGTTCAGGTGTGGGAGAGGGGCATATTTATACTGACAATTTTTGTGGCAATTTTTAAAAATTTTAATTTCTAGTTTAGAATTTTTCATTTTTTTTTAGGTTTTCTTTGATGTATGAAAATGCGGTCAAAATGCAAATGATTAGTGCAATATTACTAGTATGAGAATTCTATTTTCTTGTAATTGATTTGAATGATGAATGTGCTAGATTTGATATAATTTTAACAAATTTGTGAGCTTTTGGGATTTATGGGCTTTATGTGGAGTGAGAGCTGTAGGAAAGGAGTTTCAAATCGATGAATTGGTTAACTGATGAACTTTACTATCATCTAACGGTTGGAATAGGAGATTAGTTTGTTAATTGTAATTCAATGGGCCAACATGAGACAACACATAAACGATCCACATTGGCAAATAGCAAATACAATAATTTAAAATCTCCGGGGCCTTTTAGGATAACAAAAGCAGGAAACCCATTTATTCCCAGTCTTGAAAGAGCATTTCCAGAAAAGGTTGAATGTGATGTTTCCAGCCGCTTTAACTATAATCTCAACTTTAACTGTGATGTTTCGAGCCCATCATATCTAATGAAGCTGAAGCAATGGAAAAGAGAAGCAAAATTCCTTATTCCAAGTATTAAGCATGTGCCAAGTGTCGACCCATGGGCAAGTCACTTATTAAGACGAGGAGTTACTACAGTAATTCACTCTATCTTTTTATTATACTTGAAGAATTTTTTGTGATGTGATATATATAAAATAAAAAATTAATTAAAAATATAAAAAAAAAAAGGTTGCAAAACATATGCATGAGGCAAACAAAATAATATCTGTGAACATATTTGTATTCTAACTCTAACTCAGTGGCCACCACCTCTCCTGGTGGGATGGGAGGTCAGGGGTTCAACCCTTGTCTCCCACCAAATTGCCTGTCCTTCATGGGTAACTCGGTTAGTCTCAACAAACCTCCTTTAAGAGCTGGTGTTCAGAAACTTTTTTTCCTATTTTTCTTTAGTTTAGCATAATCAGCAATTTCCAAACATTCACTCAAAAGTTTTAGTAAGAAAATTGCCTTTCATGCACGAATAAGAAATTTTGCTTCATACAAGTCAAGCTCATAAAGAATTTTTCTTTTCTGTTTTTCTTCAAATTAGCATAATTTCTGTACATTTTCATGGGCTTTCCGGTGAATTGACTCTTTTAAGTTATAATATAGCTCCCTGTTGTTTGTAAGTTGTCGAATTTTTTTTTATGAAAATTGTCAAAACTAGCGTCCGCCAGCAAAACATCATAATTGCCACCATATAAATAAGCACGTTGAATAACAAAAACACCCTTGTGGTTTGAGAATGTTCAATTTACCTTCCTAAGGTTTAGAACCTTACAATAACTCTTCGTGGTTTACAAGTTTTATCAAATACTGATGGCTTTTTACCAATTAACAACTTTCACCGTATCCTTCTTTCAACAATCCAAAGTCTGTATTGATAACTTAGATCCCTAACTCCACCACTCCCTCAATTAGTTGAAATATATTTCCAAAGACACAGGAAATATGTTTTGTATATTTCACTTCGGTACAACTACAAAATAGATCATTTATCTTCCCATGAACTATGTAATAATATTCAATTATGGAATTTAAAGTTTTTAACCTCTTTTCCCAAGTCAAGCACGACGAGCATGTATGAACTAGCAGAAGCCTGATTTATCTCCAAATCCACTACTTTCTCTTCTAGAAGATTTGGACCAACTGTGGACAACACTTTGGGTATTTTATCTTACATAAGGGTATAATGGGCAAATCAAGTTATACTTTTGCGTCAAAAATACTTTTAACAAAAAAAATGTAGCACCAGCCATGCGTTTCTTACAAATCTGGTTATGTTTTATGAAAACTATTGCAATTTAGAAATCTTACTAACCACGACAGATGAAATTGTTGGTTTTGAAACGACAAGAGGATAAATTTAACATTTCATAAACCATAGGGAATTTTTGATACTTAAACCATTTATCTATATGGGGGCAATTGTAATATTATGCTTGCCAACGTAAGTTTCGACAATTTCCATTGATATTTCAAAAACTTATAAAGTAGAGAGATAAAATTTTGGGTTTTTAAACTATAGGAAAGTATATTGAATATTTGCTAAACTACAGGGAACTTTTAATATTTAACCCAAACATTACATATCGGTTATACACTTAAGTGTCGATCATAGCTAGGTTGGTCGAAAAACATGATTAATTTGTTAAAGGATCAAAGTTCTAAGTTTTAGTGTGAATATGTTAACAAGTTATGTTTAATTTGCAGAGGAAGCTTTAATCTAGTGACTACGGACATCAAGAATTAAAGATTTTGAATTCAAATCTCCTCTCCCTCCCCCACTTCTTAAATCCCACCCACGCCTATTAAAATTTAAAAATAAAGTAAAATTTTAGATACATATATATAATCTTGCTAGGAATAAATTAATTAATTATGTCAAATATAACACCATAGGGCGAAAATTTATCAAACACAAACACCATGGATTATTATTAGGGTCATGTTAAACTTAGAGTTTCATGACATGGATAGGATTCTAATACGACGACGGAACAATACACAAGATTACTAGAACAACTTTGTTGTGTTTTAATATGCATGATTTAAAAATAAATAAATGAAAAAACACATGATTGATTGTATGCAATTCGTAATTGACCCTTTTTAATTTGGTAAATGTATTTCATTCGATATTGTTGAGCTCTCTTAGTAACTAGATTATTCGGCCTATACCAATATGAGCTGAAAAAATATTAAAAAAATAACTATTATTAACTTAAGACTAAACACAAAATTAATGATACTCCTGCATAACCAATAATTATAAACTAGTTCTATGTCTATGAAATAGACAGTGGTGAAAATTAAGTAAACAAGAATCCCATGCAGAAGTAAAATATTTCACAAATTTCTCATCATCAATGCCCGGCCGAATCCCCATCTTGACAAATAATCAACGCTTTTAAAATTTATCAGAGTTTCAGGAACATAATTGTTTTGTAATTCTCTTTCGGCTAATCTAAATGAAAGTGCAAGACATAGATTGGCCCAAACTTATTCAAATAGGCATTGTATATTGGATCTAAACTTTTTCCTGTATTTATTATTACTGTAATTATAAATTTCCTTCATTCAGAATGCCATATGATTCACATAACATTTGATCTATTGCTAATTCCAGCATTTCCAATCCACATCTTAAAAATTTTCAGTAATTCCTAGAATCAAACAGAGTAAAGACAAGCTAGAGCAACTGGAAATCAATAAACCTAATAGTTTTCACACATTCATAGACACAATAAGATTTTTTTTTTTTTTGAGAAATACGCACACACATATACATATACATTTGATGAAATTTTTGCTAAAGTTCAAATTTGACTTGTGTTAAATTTGATTAATATATATAAATATGTACATATACATGTAGAATTGAAGCTCATCAGCTTTGGTTCAGTAGAAGCTTGTTTGAGATTAATCTGATAAATGAAGAATCTGAACTTATGTGCAATTTCAAACACAATAATAATGAATAAACAAATTTCAAAAAGATTTTCTAGTTTGATTGCATTCTTTTGCAGCCCTATGCAAATGGTAGGTGAGCAAAGAAACGAGAAGAAAATGGACCTTTTCCAATGCAGCACAACCTTAACCCTATCGTCCTTTGTTTTCTCCAAGCAGTATCAAGGAAAGAGAAATGGTTAAACTACACCGCCCTCATTGAAAATGGAAACCGTTTGATTGTTTATTTTTGGGTAAATTGCATATACCCCCCTGCAATTTTGCATGATGGCAGATGACCCTTTAAATATAGTCACGTAACCGCCATGTGGTTTAACGTAAATGAAAAATGTACCGAATGCACCATTCGTTACAGCAATTCTACCAGACGTGCGTGTGTGATAGAATCAAAATATCCACTTAACATCCTTATAATTTGCATGAATATCACTTTAGCCTCAGGTGATTTTTTTATTTATGTACATAATCCCTTATGGTTATATGCAAAATGGTTAGGCAATTGTTCAATTTAATATCTAAGTAAAGGCATCACTGATATTTCAACTAATGACATTATATAAGTTATTCCGGAAAAATCCACTTTTCATCCCTAAATTTTGAGTTAAGGACACATTTTGTCCTCAAACTTTTAGACGCACCACATTTAGTACATGAATTAATTATTTTTTGCCACATTTAGTCCAAAAATGGTAAATTGCTTAATTTGGATAGAGAAAGTCACGTGATTAGCAGTGACCGTTAAGTAAAAATAATTTATCAATCAAAATTAATGGTCACGTCAGTCTTTTCCATCCAAGTTGAATGTTTTATCGTTTTTGGACTAAATATGACCCAAAATAATTAATTCATGTACTAAATATAGTGCATCTAAAAGTTTGGAGACGAAATATGTCCCTAACCGAAAGTTTAAGAATGAAAAGTGAATTTTTTTCCCTAAGTTATTCTCCATCAAGTTTCGGCTTTGCATTAAACCATAGGGAGTGAAGTGGATATTTTGACATGTTAAGGGAACCATGTGTAAGTGAAATCATAGAGGGTTATGTGGAATTTATCCTTTATTTCTCTATATGTAATTAAATGAAAGCAAGCCACCTGACATCAAAACCTGAAAATCAGCAACATAAAATGTTCCCATAGCATTTATCTACTGGCTTAGTTGGCAAATGTTGCTTCAGCAAAAATCCTGAAATGTTGTTTCAAGATAAACGTATGGTCCCTAACATCATGCACGAGCAATCGCTATTCAAGTTAGATGGTATAGCCGTTCAAGCAGAGACAAAAGGAAGAAAGAAACAAGTGACACCAGTATACTAAAAATAGTTCAGTAACCCGAAACGGGATCACACTGTAAGCAATAACATGATCAAAAGTACTTCTCAAAATATCCATTCTCAAAATACAGCAATGTAAGCTAGAATAAATCAAAGCCAGACTCCTCAAAAAAGGGAAGCTTACAAAATCTTTCAAACGTGTATTCATATTATGGGGGAAGGCCTCTTCCAATGTCCCTCAAAATATAAAATCTTCAAGTTTCCGCCATAAAATAATAAAGTTTTATTCCCATTCCTAGATGAATAATATATCTTGAAGACCCTTCGGAGGAAAACAGGCAATAAGAACCCAAACAAACTGAAGCAGCAAAAGACCATATTAACGACAGCAAGGCCTCTTCCAATGTACAATCTTCTAGAATTGCCACCAGGCTTGTAAAATTCACTCCACAACAGTAAAGATCCTCCTGGAATTGTAGAAAACAGGGGTAAATACAAAAACCGGGAAGGAAACCCACAGTAGAAAGCCACTCCTAAGAAAATCTGAATAGCAAGAAGAAAGACATGAGATGCAGCAGAACTGAGTCCCTAAACTGATTATTCCAGAAAAAAGCACAAAGAGATTTTAAAGCCTGTGTTTTCCCAAAAAAATTCTGAGATTGGATTTGAGGGGAAAGTGTTGGAAAGGCAAATTTTGATAAAAAGTGGATACAGACTAAAGACTACAAAAGCTGAATCTTCAACACTAACCAGGCTAGTAGCGGTGAGAAAAATCAGCCTTGAAAGTGCATTTCGCTGCCAAAATTGAGGAAAACCCTTTTAGATTGAGGCTTTTTCTCGTCCAAGCCGAACTCCTTGATGTAAGATCATTCAGATTCCCTTTTTCCAACATCTGCTGAGACTTTTACTTTCTCGACCTTGAGAGGTTTACTCTCTTTTCCACACAGCCAACTAGAAACAGATATTTGTCTATTAGTTCTGTGAGCAAATGCCCAAGTTTTGGCCTAAAGAGACAAATTTTGGCAACTGGAAAAAATTCGGCTCAAACAAAAGTTGTGTTTAAAGCTGTCTTTAATGCATTCAGTGCAATTCTTCTCTTTTGGTCACATTAATTCTTTCTAAGAGGTCATCGAAAAGGTTTACTGACAATTAACAGGATCAAAACCACTTAAGAACTGTACTGTGAAAGCAAACCTAGACTGAAAATGATAACTTCAAGACCTTAATTTATGAAGTAATGATTCAAGAGTAAAATAATCATGATTTTTTAAGAGGTGATAGAAGAAGTCTCAAAAAGCACAGAATCCAGAAAAATTGGTAACAAAGAAAGTATACAAAGCCTAACACATAAAAAGTCATAACAAAAGAATAGATTTACTCGGTAGTAATTAGAATAACATGCCAAAGTTTTACCTGAAAGAACCGTGGTGATCAAAAGTCCAAGTCTGACCGATCAACAATGACCTTCAGCTCATTCCCCATGTCAAGTTGTTCCTGCTGGAGCTGTCTCACAGACTCCACAAGAGAGCTTGTGCAAAATTGCACCTCAATCATCTCCAGAGTAGAACTGTCACCGAAACCAGAGGGGACCTCCTTGAGCTCCCTGCAACTTCGTAAAATTAGGTGTACAAGCTGCGGCAGGTGGTCACTACAGGCATTCCATTCAGCAATGTTTAGGCTGTCGAGCTTCAAAAATTTCAGTTTAAGGAACTCTCCTTCTTTCATCTCCCACACTTTCCCCTCAAAAGCTTTAGAGAGTAATTTAAGAACCTCAAGGTTTGGTAATCTCCCAATCTCCGAAATACAATCCCATGGCAGGCGAAACTTTGACACAGTTAACTTCCTGAGATTCAATGGGAAGTCAAAGTTACATGAAAGAGCAATCCTGCCTGAGTACAGTACATTGAGGGACTCAAGCTCTGTTAGAAAATTCAGTATTGGAAACTGATTACACTTTCCTGTATCATCAGGTAATTCAGAAAATAGACATCTCATTTTCCGAAGTTTGAGCAACCTCCTCATGATATTCTCTGTACCTTTACCACAAAAGAGATACGGAGAGGAAAGACTGACCAGATTAAGTATTGGGGTAAAAACAGTGCTTTCACCATCTTCCAAGGTGATGACAGCATAATTCTTGATATGGAGATGTCTCAACTTTTCCATGCTCCAAATAGCATAAGGTAGTGATACTTTACCTTTCAATCCCTTCACAAGCAAGGTTTCAAGATTCCGGAGATAGTTTATTGATGCTGGAATACTATCTATATCGCCACAAAGAGCTAAAAATCTCAGACCAACCAATACTAGGACTCCTGTGGGGAAAGAATTTCCCATATTGATGCATTCCAAATCCAGCACTCTAAGAAGTTCAAAGTTGTCAAAAATGAAGGAGATGTCATAGGGACATCTTGGATACATATCACTGGTGGCAGAGTACAGCAGAGTGCGGACAAATGGCCCAGAAGGTCTTGACATGGTAAAATGATGTCTCTTGGAAAAAATAGACAGCCGACGTTTTTGGTATTTGATGGTGTTTTTGGGGTAAATGTAATTGGGATCAACGCCATAGTCTATATCCTCATGAGAAGAATCAAAAAGTTCATCATACCCATTTTGGAACTGCAAAAGGTTTTCTTCTTCAGACTTTCGGATGCATAATGTACGCAACATGTCATGGACACGACATGTTTTCATTCCTCCACGTGATCTTCTTTTGGAAGGCATTACTAGGCTTCTTCCAATCAGATTCCTCAAGTAACCCTCCGCAATATCTTCTATGCTTTCTACCCCTGAATCTGTTATAAATCCTTCTGCTCTCCATAACCATGCCAACTTCCTAACTGGAATGTCTTTGTCCTCCAAAAACACTGCAATATAAAGAAAGCAAGGTTTCAAATAGTTGGGTAGATACCTGTAGCTGAGCTCTAAAATGTCCATGCACCTCCTTTCAGGATCATCGGCAATCTGTGAGCATATGCTTTCTGAAACTTGTTTCCACCTGTCAGGTATCATGTCAGTCTTTTCAAGGAGACCAGCTATTGCAACAACTGCCAGAGGGAGTCCTTTACAACTTTCAGCAATTTGCTTTCCAACTACCATCAGTTCAATGGGGCACTCTTTTGTGTCGAACAACTTCTTTTGTAACAGCTCCCAACTTTCGTCATCAGATAGTAGCCGAAGAGGATGAGGAGTACCATCTACTTGAACTTCTGCAGCCACATCAGAGTGACGGGTCGTGATCAGTATTCTGCTTCCATTGTTGTCATTCGGAAATGATATTTTGAAATCATTCCATGCCTCAATGCTCCACATATCGTCCATAACAACGAGGTACCTATAGCTCTTCAAGCATTGGTACAACTTCATCACCAAATCTTCATCACTCATTTCGAGCACGTCATCTGTAAGTTCCACAATGTTGCGTAAAATTTGAAGAAGCAATTCTCTCTTCTGATATGTTTGGGAGATACAACACCATGCTTGAACGTGGAAGTGATCGGTAACTGAAGGATCGTCGTACACCCTCCTGGCTAAAGTTGTCTTGCCGAGTCCAGCCATCCCAACAACTGAGAAAACACCTAGTTTTCCTGATCCTGCTATAAGTCTATCAATGAACAGTTTCTTTTCATCAGCAAGATCAATAACAACTTCATCAATCTTGCGAATTTCTGCCTGTGATGATACCATTGTTGAAGCGGTGGGAACATTATGAATGTTGATGCCATGTGCATTCTTACAAGTTTTTCTTGCCTGAAGCTTAATAAGTTTGAGGTCTTCCACGAGATCAGAAAGCCATAATGGATGATACCATCTCAAAGAATCTCCAGCCACAAATGAATCAATGAGATATTCTGCCTCGAGTGTTACTTGTACAATGCTCGAAGCAACACTCTTCAAATCCTGATGCTTATCATACTTCTCTTCAATGTTCGTGAGGAATGATCTCAAGAACTTTATCTCTCTGTGAACGACATGAAATTTATGTTTCACTGAAAGAACAGAGCCGGCTTTAGACTTGAGCTGCTCCAAGAGATCTACTAAAAAGAAATCAATGCTGCCAAGTCCTTCCATCTTGGGAAAATTAGATCTTAATGACCGTCTGTGAGGTAGGTAAATTTCTTTGATCTCTGCATTGACAACCTTCATCTTGTCAACTAACTCAGGAAGCAAATGACTGAATTCCCTCATTGTTTCTTCCGTAATTTCATTTTCAAGAAGAGAGTAATAGAAACAAGCTGCATCCCTTGCTACTGACTCTACTTGTGTCAAGATCGATTTCTCATTCTCCTCTAGCGGACCCATCAAATAAGTTCTGCTGACTACCAGCCAATGACCAAGGCTGTTAATTTGGCGCTTCACATTGTCTGTCAGACTTGGGTGTCTACTAAGAAGCTCTTCAAAAAGTACCTCCGTCTTCAAAAGTTTAATCTTCTCTAGCAACTTAAGTAACTCATCTGTGAACTTGTCTTCAGTGATGGACTTGGCAAGAAATGATCGATAAACAGAGCCAGCCTCCCCAGCCACAGGTCTGATATGCAACCAAATCAGCTTAGGAACTTTAGTTTTCGCCACAGGTGCATTTCTCTGGTAATCTCGAAAATACTCCAGTTCATTGTGGAAAGAATCAATTTGACGCTCAAGGAACTTTAAACTGCCTTTTTGGTTTAGCAGTCGGATCAGGAAGACCTCTACCCTTAGAAGCTCCATCTTTTCTACCAATCTAAAAAATGCAGGATCGGTGTCCCATGTTTCCTCTCTATCATGAACTGAATAACCGAAAGATCCAAGCTCGATAATGGTTGCTTTAATCTCCATTAAAGTCAGCTTCACATCATCCGCCCTGTAGAGATCTGACACATAAATGGAACGGGCAAAGAATACCAGATCTTTGAGCCTTTTGCAGAAGGTTTGAAGTCGAGAACACTCCTTAGGAATGAGAAAACCAATAAATTTTTCTACCAGATACACATATGCATATGGCTCAGAGTGGCATGAGCAATGATCGCTGGTTAATTTGATACACAGCTCCGTAACTTGTGGCGTATTAGGCTTGAACGCCTTTAACAGATCAGAAAGCATGATGATCATCTGCCGTTTCTTGTCTTCATGCATTCGATGAATCCAGCACAAATAAGAAAAATGCGCTGTGCGGACAAGTGCACCTCCAAAATGAGTCCGAAGTTTTATTTGTAGATTAGGACAAGAATATCTCATCTTTTCAACATAAGTACCGAGACACTCTAGCATATCATACATGGTACCAAATTGTGGGCAGATATGGCTGAGCAAGTCAATTTGCCGCCAAACAATAATTCGTAGACAGTTAAAGAAGTTATACCAGTTATCATAATTGCTTAAAAAATCGTGGGATCTCAATGAGTAGTTAGATGCAACATACTCATAAGCTGCTTCCACTTGTGGGCTCGAACACATATGCTTCAGTTCTAACTTAGAAATTGCAACTACAATAACCTCTTCTCGAGCAGCAATTCTTACATCATTCATTGCCTTCTTAAATGCAACTTCAAGATCTCGAACTACAGACCCCAACCCCTGACCAGCACCACGCTGCTTATCAGCATCATCCCAATTCGTCACCAACATCTGAAACATTCTCATCAGCCCTGCTTCAATTTCAAGGATTCGAATTTGATCTGCAGCATCTCTATCCCTATCATAATAACGCTGTTCCAATTGGTACAACTCCTCACATAGAGAATCAAAAACATCAGTGGAAGTTCGATTCACACTCTGAACGGCTTTTTGGATCGTGCTCTTAACAAGCTTTCCAAAGAACTCCATGGAAAAAGATCCTGAAATACAAGTACAACAGGTATTCTAAACTTCTTGTTTGAGTTTTGAAGAGTGAAAAGGAACGGCATACAGAGGAGCTGAGAAATGGAATGCTTGAATGAGTTGTTGATTGAGATTTTTTTTTTTTTTGGGTTAGTGGATTAAAGCATATACATTCGTACATCTACATCAACGTCTGCATTATTAAATTACAAATGGTTGTATCGGTAGATGAAAAATAACAATTTTCTGACAACTGTAATCAGTTTGTTCATACATTTTCCTGGCTTTTGTGCAACTAGCGACAGAATTTAGTATTGCAAATAATAGGGTTCGGAGTTCTGTCCTGAACAGGAGCACGGAAATGGTCAAACCTTATCGGGTTTGTAGGTCAATTAGTATGTTAGGATCAAACCTTATCTTGTTTGTGTATCATTGATATCTCAATTAGTTTATGGCGCACCACCAACTTCATCTTCTAGAATGATGTTGTGTCGTAGTATTACCATGCTGCATCAACTATCATGGTAACCTGGTTAATCATTCATGCACTTACGCAAATTTACTACAAATAAATCTTGCGCAAATGTACTGTGAATGAGACATTAACGGATGTTTATCGGACACTTCTTAACCACTTCCGATACTCAGCTCCACTATGGAGCTCCATTGCCAAACCTCACTCTTCAAATTCTGGCACACGTATTATGATTTGAAGAGTGAGCCCTGATAAGGGGCTCCATAGTAGGATTGAGTACGGGAAGTACTTCTTAATGAATACATTTAACCATAGATATAATATAATTATTGCGCTTCGTGTAGTTAGACACGTGTACTCTTAGCGGGTACCTAATCCAATAGCCAAACTATAAATAAAAATGACTTTTTTTTTTAGGGTGTCCCGCAGAAAGTAGACTCCACAGACTATTCCCCACCCTTCACAACTTGCTGGGAGCAAGGTTTGAACCAGGAATCTAAAGCTCTATCTTCAGCAACCTCAACCGCCAGACCAAATCCTAGAGGACAAAATATAAAAATGACTTTAAACCTCAGTTTCCTTTTTCTTTATGTCTTGAAAAAAGTAACTAATAACTAATAAACTCATCTCAACTCTACCTATTTTACAGCATTACCTCTCTCGTTTTAATCGTGTGGGATGAGACATGAAAGTTGAAGCTAAAATGCATTAAGTTTTTTTACCAAAAAAAAAATTAAGCTATAGTATTGCGTTTGAAATTTCTATTACTAAACTTAATGATAGTATGCGACATGAAGAATTGATCAGGTACACTAAATTAGATCCACCATTATAGGAATTAGTTTAAATACTATCTACTGTTTGTCATGAATATACACTAAATTTTCTATATTAGATCTAGGTTGATCAAAAAATATGACCGATTTTTTAATGAATAATTTGAATATGTTAGCAGGTCAAAATAAATTATCATAACAAATTATGCTGGATGATTTCTAGTTAACACATTAATAACATTGGCCCTGCATTGTCTATCAAAAACAAAAAATAAATTATCATACTCTTGCTAAGAATAAGTAGGTTAAATATGTCAATATAACACCATATATAGAATACGAGTAGAACAAATGACTTGGGATATAAATAGATCAATGACAGCATCATATGATTATTTCTTAGGTCATGTAAAGGTTAGAGTTTCATCATATGGACATGCTTATAATATGGCATAATAATACACGACATGATTAATGTAATTGTGTTGTATCTTAATATAAACGACGTGATTATATCCAATTCCTAATTGTGCCTTTTTAATTTGGTAAATTTATTGGGGGGAAACTTTGAATTATGATGGTAATCGGGATTTTTTTCTAAAAAAAAAAGATGGTAATCAGATGTTTGCATATTCGTATTAGTGGTACAAGTTTAGACAAATTCGTACTTGGAGAATTGGATCCTGTTCACAACAATATAAGGATTTTTAAAATTTTGTGAATTTATCAGCAGTCCATGTCCAGCTGTAATATAAATGACACCTGTTACTTCAAAGGGGCTGTGTCTGCGGGATCATTGACTTTTTTTTTAAAAAAAAAAGAGAGTAAAATATCATAATTTTTATTAGAATCTGCACTAATGATAAAAATTACATCATCAATTATAGATATCAAAAAACAAATCTAAGAAGAATGGACACTACAATCCGAAGAAGAAATAAAAATAAAAATAAATTAATTGTAATCCCGAAAACATATGTGATTGATTTTAATTGCTAAACCTATTGATTAATTGCTTCAAATCCAAATATTATGATGAGAAATATCGAATAGACTTGATATATTCTAGATTCAACAATCAAAACCTAAAATACTCAAATCTAATAATAAAAAGAATGATAAAACTATCTAAAATTCTTGTTAGAAATCTTAAAAGAGAAGAAAACCCTCACTAAAAACGTCTAAGATATGAGAAAATTCATATCAGGCATCGAAAAGAAACTTTTATTAGAAAACTTTAAGAGACAGTAAGAAAGACTTTATTCACACATTAAAAAGAAACTAGAGATAGGTTCCACTCATGTGGAAAGATGAGAAATTTTTTATTTTTCTCCCGTGAGAGAATTGGAGGAAATTTTGGTTAGAAGAAAAAAGGTTTTTCTGGAAGAAAAAAGGATTTTTTGTTCCAAAGGAGCACTGAGCCCTGGGGCCAATGCTGATTGAGATATGTTATAGAGCAAAATGAAGCATTAAGCTCAAACCCGCGATGTCATGTTCATCAGGTGTGTCGACTTACCGGTACCTGAGCCACTAGCAAATAGTGCTTCGCTTGCCAATTGGCACATAAATGTTATAAAGAGACCTAGATCAATTTAATTTTTTTAAAACATCTTATCTTTTTCTTTTTAATCTTCTAATTTCTTCAGAAAACTACACTTATGTATATTATCGATAGTAAATTAATGTACTTAAATAAATTTTTACGCTATTTTCAATCAAATTGACAACTAAATTATTCTTTCTTTGGGATAATTTTCCCTTACTACAAGCACCATGCAAAAATTTGACTACATAGCAGTATTTATCTTTGGAATGTATTAGTATGTTAAAGAAAAACAGTTTTTCTAATGTGATATTACTTGTAATTTTTAAAATTTATATTTCCTAATTTTATTTTATGGCAGTAAATTTATTTTAAAAAAGTGCACTTAGTACTAATATTTTTCTTTCATACTTCTGAATGAAATTTCAATTTTGTGCCAATGATGGGTTGCAAATTATTTTTCACAAATTAGTCACATTTGAAATTGAAACTACATGTTGGGTTTGTATGGTCTAGCCCATTTGTGGGCCAAACCACAAAACAAAGCCTTTAGATTTCCAAGTCAAAAATGACTTCAGATTTAGTCATCGACGCAACTTGATGAGTACTAGTGGCGTAGGTTTCTTTCTTGCAAAAGAGAGAGAAAAAGCTCAGCCGCAAGACTAATCGACTGAGGAAAGGAAAAAAAAAAAAGGCGCAACCATCACTCTTATTGGTTTTTGAGAAAAACTGTAATGAAGTCAGTAGTCAAAGAGAAGAAGGCGTGATAAGTAGATAAAGGAAGGCGTGAAGTAGCAGAAGGAAGTCCAATAAAAGGCGCGACTATCAGTTAGCATTGCATAGAAGAGGAAAGGCGCGGACCAGGGAAAGGAAAAGCGCGGGAACAAAGGGAGAAGGCGTGTCCAAGAACCCACGCTTTTCCTGGATTCATGCTGTTCTTGTGCGGGAAGAGGATAAACAAACTGGAAGCTTCACTTTACACGTGTCTATCATTCATTCGTTACTTAAAGAAGTTAGTTAGGGTAGTTTACTATAAAATGTCACGATCCTGTAATAGTTAGTCATTCATTCTGTCAAGATTTGTTTCTGCAATCACAGAGGAAATATTCCCTCTGATTCTCTGTATCTAGTCTTCCTGCATTCTTTTTCACCTTCTCCTCTTTCCTGCCAAATCCAATTCTGTAATCTGATTTGAAGTTCATCAATTAATAGAAGAGCTGATCTTATTTCGATTCCATTTTGTGTCAATTTAAGTTTTCTTACTCCAGAACATCCATTCCTAATTACATTATAGGTTCTGTACCACAACAAAAACGAAGAAAGAGAAAAGAGTAAAGAAATCAAAGAGAGAAACTTCAAAATCTTGATTAGAAGATGATTCGAATTCCGATTGAAAAGAAATTTTATCCACGTGATACTTTCGTCAAACTCTACTCATTTATTAGTTCAGATTTTGAATTTTTTCTTGTTTGGTAACAACTTTACAAACCCACTTTTTTGACAGTTGTAGTTTTTTAGAGTGATTTTATAGTAATTTCGCTTGATTAATATTAGTGATATTATTGTCATCCAAATATTTCAAGTGGATATTTGCATTGCCATTATTTTGATAGTGAAGATTTTGACTGGATTAGATTCCGTGGTTTTTCTCAATTTGAAATTTTCACGTAAAAAAATCTTGGTGTCCTATATTTTTTATTTTTTTTGCATTTTATTATTACTGTTGGCATTGTTGGTTAGTGATTTGATTTATTTTATTTTAACTAGTACTTAGAAAAATAGTAATTTGTCCTGAATTAATTTTAATATTGTTGTATGCACCGGTACCTCTTTTCCACAAAGTAATATCAAAGCAGTCAGATTGGGCTGCTCAATTGTACTGGTTAAAATGGAGGATTAGGATAGTGGTTGTATGATTAAATTAAATGCAACTAATTATTCGACTTGAAAGTCTAGAATGGAAGACTATTTGTACGGTAAAGATTTGTTCGATTTTGTTCTAAGGGACGTGGTTAAACCAAGTGACATGAGTCATCATTCTTGGCAATTTTTTGTCATTATTAAACCAAGTGTGAATTTCTGACAAATTTTTTACAGTAATGAGCATGTCATTAACATAAAATAGCAAATAAATGAAAGAACCATCCTTTAACTTCTGGAAGTAAACACAACCATCATACATGCTCATTGAATAATCACGACCGACATAAAGATATCAAATCTCTTATACCACTGTCTTGGAGACTCTTTCAATTCGTATAAGGATTTCTTCAACAAACAACTATGGTCTTCCTTTTCTTCAATTTCAAATCTCTGAGGTTGCTTAATATAAATTTTTTCTTCCAATTCACCACGCAGGAAAGTTGTTCAAACTACTCCAATTCCAAATCATACATGGCAACTAAAGTAAGCAAAACACAAATAGAGCTATATTTAACAAAAGGTGAAAATATATCATTAAAATCAATACTTTGTATCTGACTATAGTCCTTTGCAACCAAC